AGAAAATGGATGCAATCCCTCTCCATCGTACAAGAGTAATATCCTAGGCGAAGTCTTTTTTGGCAAGCCTGTGCCCATTCATGTGTGGACCGCAGACTCCTTCATGCACCTGGATTATCATCTCTTTGGCCTCCCTTTCATCTAGACATTTCAACAGAATGTTGTTGGAAGACCTTATTATACAACCTATCCCCACAGATTACGGACTACATGGCTAGTCTCTGAATGGTCTGCCGATCTCTCGGTCTAGCGTCGGGAGTGGTTGCTCTCGTACCTATGGTTACAGACTACAGCGGCAGATTCAAGCGCATGAGTTCAGAGAGATCAGTTGAACGTCTGCAGAATGAGAAAGTAGATCGTGATCTGAATATGAAGGAAGTGGATTCCAGGGACAGCTGCTTCTATAAACACAAGAAACGGTCTTGTGGACTTAAAATAGAAGTTTTTTTCAGTCTCTATTTGGCAAAGGAAAACGGGGCCGAACTTAGAAGTCGGCAAGAAAGACTTTGAGAAATGAGTAGGAACTTGAATTTCCCTGTCGATGAGCGATGAAACCACATCAGTGTGCGATCATCACTTTACGAGTTTCTGCTTCTCTTCTTTTTCTTTAAGGCCTCTCTTAAGGCTTTGAACGCGACTTTCTCTATCCTCATTAGGTTAGGTAGGATAGTACTTCCTTTAATAAGTGTAGAAAGTATGCTCTCTTTTCCTCCTTAGTAGCTAACTGAGAGTTCATCTTGCTCCTGTATTTTCCTCTGTTTCGTCTACTAGTCCTACTTCTCTCTCTGTTGAGTATCTTTGAAATGCTGCTGCCTTACTCTTCCTTCTCCCTCCTAACACCCCTGGTATAAGTTCTAGGAAAAGAGAGTCCATCTCCTTCGGACCCTGATCCCTTCTCTAAGATGGGGAAGCTTCCTAGAGAGTGAAGCCTTTGCCCCTAGCTAGATATAGTACTATCCTCTTTCGTCTGATTGTCCTCTTCCTGTTAAGAGAATCCTCCTACTGGTATGTTTATATCAATCTCGAATGCCTTATAACGAGTTATATCTTCCGGGTCTTGTTTTGTCTTAATAGAATCCCTATGAGTGAGTCATCCTTTCTTCTAATGCTTCCGAGTGGTTAGTCCTTACTCTATCTCTTTTAGTGGTATAAGGAGGAGTTTGATTCATAGAGCTGGATGTAGCTACTTTAGGTTTCTATCAAGCTAGGCCAGCTAAGAATGTCTTTGATGGTAGCTTTCTTCTTACTGGTAGTTTTAGATCAAGATAGAACATATAATAAGAAAGAAGATCTAGCAATCTGGTAGTTCCTGTAAGCCAAGCAGCTATAGAAGAGCGTAGGAGAGAGATCAAAGAGTAGTCCTCTTGTCACATCCTTAGCAGGGGATTCCTTCCTCTCTATGCCCACCCTGATCTACGCTCATCCCTTCTTTCCTTCTTCCTAGGAGCTAAAGGTCTTATTCCCTTAAGCAGTCTGAAGGCGCTAGGTACTGTCTTCAAGTGCCTCTTACAACCCAGACGCTTCTCCTAGTGATGTTAATATCATTCTCTCGTCCTGTAGCTCTTATTAGACTCCAAGATCTCAATGCTATTTGAGGAGAATCAGTTTGCTCCTGTAGGTTTATATCCCTCTAGAATGCCTTATAAGCCCTTCTATCTATCCCTCTCTTGCTAGTAGCTCTCTTCTTTCCTAGTAGCTTGACTTCGTTCCTGCACTGTTAGTTTAGTAAGGCCTAAGAGCTTCTTCCTTGAGGGGCCCGTCCAGAAGATAATGTATTCTATCTGGTAGCTAACCCGACGAGCTGCTGTTGATAAAGAATAAATATCTTCATTAATATAAGGCTGCAAGACAGAGACTTCCTCCTCCGGCCTTTTTCTCCGAGTTGCAAGTAGCGAGGAGGTTACTGCGACACGCATTAACTTCCTTCTTAGGCGTAGCGGGGATAAAAAGGATTCGGCTCGGTCCATAGCATACAAGAACCTTAGAAGCCTTATTACACTACCAAAACAGGAAGGAAGTTAATGCGTGTCGCAGTAACCTCCTCGCTACTTGCAACTCGGAGAAAAAGGCCGGAGGAGGAAGTCTCTGTCTTGCAGCCTTATATTAATGAAGATATTTATTCTTTATCAACAGCAGCTCGTCGGGTTAGCTACCAGATAGAATACATTATCTTCTGGACGGGCCCCTCAAGGAAGAAGCTCTTAGGCCTTACTAAACTAACAGTGCAGGAACGAAGTCAAGCTACTAGGAAAGAAGAGAGCTACTAGCAAGAGAGGGATAGATAGAAGGGCTTATAAGGCATTCTAGAGGGATATAAACCTACAGGAGCAAACTGATTCTCCTCAAATAGCATTGAGATCTTGGAGTCTAATAAGAGCTACAGGACGAGAGAATGATATTAACATCACTAGGAGAAGCGTCTGGGTTGTAAGAGGCACTTGAAGACAGTACCTAGCGCCTTCAGACTGCTTAAGGGAATAAGACCTTTAGCTCCTAGGAAGAAGGAAAGAAGGGATGAGCGTAGATCAGGGTGGGCATAGAGAGGAAGGAATCCCCTGCTAAGGATGTGACAAGAGGACTACTCTTTGATCTCTCTCCTACGCTCTTCTATAGCTGCTTGGCTTACAGGAACTACCAGATTGCTAGATCTTCTTTCTTATTATATGTTCTATCTTGATCTAAAACTACCAGTAAGAAGAAAGCTACCATCAAAGACATTCTTAGCTGGCCTAGCTTGATAGAAACCTAAAGTAGCTACATCCAGCTCTATGAATCAAACTCCTCCTTATACCACTAAAAGAGATAGAGTAAGGACTAACCACTCGGAAGCATTAGAAGAAAGGATGACTCACTCATAGGGATTCTATTAAGACAAAACAAGACCCGGAAGATATAACTCGTTATAAGGCATTCGAGATTGATATAAACATACCAGTAGGAGGATTCTCTTAACAGGAAGAGGACAATCAGACGAAAGAGGATAGTACTATATCTAGCTAGGGGCAAAGGCTTCACTCTCTAGGAAGCTTCCCCATCTTAGAGAAGGGATCAGGGTCCGAAGGAGATGGACTCTCTTTTCCTAGAACTTATACCAGGGGTGTTAGGAGGGAGAAGGAAGAGTAAGGCAGCAGCATTTCAAAGATACTCAACAGAGAGAGAAGTAGGACTAGTAGACGAAACAAGAGGAAAATACAGGAGCAAGATGAACTCTCAGTTAGCTACTAAGGAGGAAAAGAGAGCATACTTTCTACACTTATTAAAGGAAGTACTATCCTACCTAACCTAATGAGGATAGAGAAAGTCGCGTTCAAAGCCTTAAGAGAGGCCTTAAAGAAAAAAGAAGAGAAAGCAGAAACTCGTAAAGTGATGATCGCACACTGATGTGGTTTCATCGCTCATCGACAGGGAAATTCAAGTTCCTACTCATTTCTCAAAGTCTTTCTTGCCGACTTCTAAGTTCGGCCCCGTTTTCCTTTGCCAAATAGAGACTGAAAAAAACTTCTATTTTAAGTCCACAAGACCGTTTCTTGTGTTTATAGAAGCAGCTGTCCCTGGAATCCACTTCCTTCATATTCAGATCACGATCTACTTTCTCATTCTGCAGACGTTCAACTGATCTCTCTGAACTCATGCGCTTGAATCTGCCGCTGTAGTCTGTAACCATAGGTACGAGAGCAACCACTCCCGACGCTAGACCGAGAGATCGGCAGACCATTCAGAGACTAGCCATGTAGTCCGTAATCTGTGGGGATAGGTTGTATAATAAGGTCTTCCAACAACATTCTGTTGAAATGTCTAGATGAAAGGGAGGCCAAAGAGATGATAATCCAGGTGCATGAAGGAGTCTGCGGTCCACACATGAATGGGCACAGGCTTGCCAAAAAAAGACTTCGCCTAGGATATTACTCTTGTACGATGGAGAGGGATTGCATCCATTTTCTTCAGAGATGCC